TCATAATGGTAAGAACATTTTTTTTTTTTTTCTGAAGAATTTTATTTCAGGGTTTAATGACTAAAGCACTGGGAGTCTCTTGCTCATTAAATACAAAATGCATGAAGTCTTTTACTTAGTGCTGTACTATTGTCTTTTGAAAACTGGAGCTTGTAGTAAGTTATTTCCAACTTTTACTTCCCTTATCTGAAGGAGAGCTAAGGTGTATAACTTTTTAAGCAGCATATCACAGCAGCTGAAAGAATAATTAGAGGAAGTTGTAAAACAATTAAATCAACGTAGTATGAGTAAACATAGTAAGGATAAACTTGATAGTTGCTGTAAAGAGAAATTGTGTCGCTTTAATCACAACTCTTTGTCTTTCTCAACAAAACAGTTGTTGAAGGGAATAGAATGTATTTTCAAAAACTTATTTGAAAAATTCTTCATAAAAGGCTTTTAAAGAAAATCAGAAGTCTCAGGAAGGCTACCTTATAGCAGATCCTTTCTCACAGGTCCTCTTGCCAACCATTTCACAAAAGGTTGTGGAAGAGGCACATATCCCTCATACTGGAAGTAAACCCTATCCTGAGTCATATAGTCAGGCTGATCTTGCAACACAGGGAAGGATAGAGATTAGCTCACTTGAGCTCAAGGATATTAGAAAAGGCCAAATGGTAATTTATGCTACTTTAATCAATGATCTAGAAAAAAACACAATATACTTATTGATAAAGATTACACCCAGAGTAGGGAATAGTAAAAATTTAAGAAAACAGATCAGAATATTTAGGGCAAATAAATTAGTAGTGTACCCATCCCTACCCTGCCCTTGCCTTCTGGAAGACACCGTATCTACAGAAGACTGGTGCATCAGCTGAATGTGAACTCCTGATGTAATGCTGTGGCCAAAAGAGTTCATGTGATTTTTGGATGCATAAACCAAGGATGCAAAAGATGAATTTACAGACTCATATGAGACTGTTGTGTTTGGCATAGGTCTGCTTGCTATATCATGTTTGATGATAACCATAACTGGAAAGAGTACCAAGGATGAATTAGAAGTTTCAAAGAAGAGCAAAGAAAATGACTAAAAGTTTGTAAAATGTGTCCTCTAGTCAGGGCTTCGAAGACCTTGATCTTTTCTCATCAGAAAGCGCTTAAAGGCTGACCTGAGCAAAGTCCGTGCTTGCCCACACAAGCAATGGTAATTGGATAATAAAGGACTTGCAAACATAGGAATAATAAATTAAAATGGATGGAACTTTAAACTGGACACATTCAGAGCAGAAATAAATAACCATTTGTTTAACTCCAAAGGTCATTAACCTTTGGAACAGTTTACCAAGAGCTATTGTATGTTCTTCATCACTAAAATCTGTAAATCAAGATTAAAGGCTTTTCTAAATGACATGTTAGAATAAGCTGGGATTGACTGAAGGAACTTTTGTGTATTATAAAGAAAGTCAGAACAGATGAGCATAGTCAGCTCTTGTGGCTCTATTACCTGTCCATCTGATCTATAAACAGAGAGTAATACATTGCCATGTTGTAAAGTAAGTATGCTGATAACAGGGTGCCTGAAAGATCTGCTAAGGTGGGTGGTGTTTAGAATACTGCTTAGTGACCTGGAAAAAGTGCCTGACAACAATGAAAATAAAAATTTTGTCCTGAATTAGAATTTGGAGACAACATAAAAGAGAGTTGAGGCAGTTTAAGGCAGTCAAGACTAAGAGACATCATAAATACAAATGAAATTGGTTTGTATGAATGATGTGTGTGATTGCATAAAAGGTAGGATAGAAAGAAACAATGTAATTATATAAACTGATGATAATTTATTGTTTTGAATGCTGTACAGTAAGAATAAAAATTTCTGAAGATGATAGAACAAATGAATGAGACAGTTAGGGATGTTTTTGTATTAAATCTCAGATAAAGTATAGGTATGCAGCTATTGTGCTGTGACTTTGAGAGGTGTGTGTTATGGTAGTTCCTTGAGTTTCTGTCAAAGCCAGAGAAAGGACTATCCCACTGTAAAATCAGGATATTGGGCTAGTACAAGTACTGGTCTGATTCAGCATGGTGGAATCCATGTTTCTTTTATGTCTACACTATAAGGCTTGTAAGGCAATAAATGTATTGTCAGTCTTTGCAAGAAAGTATAAACCAAAAAGAAATTAATTTATTCATAATTTGTGATATAACTTTCTCAAATATCTCAGAACTTATATATAATAGAATACTTGTTTATTCACAGAATATAGAAACAGTAGTGTAATTAAGAAATAAAGCTCAGAATGTCATTTGAAAGTTCAGCCTTAAATATTCTTTAAATTCCTAACCTTAATTTAAAAGTTGATCATGCTGCTCTAGTTTGTGGTAGAAATATCAAATTTACCAAGTTGCACCAAGTGCTGTATTCTTTTTTTGCTATCCTAATTTATATTTAGATGTTAGGTCTTGAGTGCAGTGTGTGATAAGACTATGTGAGTTCCATAATGTTTGTAAATGAAAAATAGTAGCCTTACTGCTCCCTTGCTTTTTATTGAGGATTATGCCAGAGTCCAGCACCAAAGTAAAAATGAAACTTTATAAATGAAATAAATTGCATTTTCCCCCTACTGTGATCTGTAACTACCACAGCGTTAGATGATTCTGAATCCTCCAGTATCATTAAGCCAAAGTTCCTGCAAAGCAAGTACATTTGGGAATGAGGGAATGATTGTGAGCTAAACTGAAAAAAACCCCATACACTGAAAGCTTTATATCAGAAACTCTTACAAAATCCAGTTAATTCCTTATGTGTGGATTGGAAACCTTGCTACTTTAGTTTTTAATTCTGCTATGAAGAGCTACAGAATTAGCAGCAAAAAAGGCAACTTCAGTTATCTGTACTGACCTGCATTCAGTTGTTATTGCATTAAATCATTAAATTCTGACTGACATTAATATATGCTGAAAGAATAGGCTAGTATCTGTTTCTAATCGTGCATACTCTGCCTATGTCTTGAAGCTAATTTTTTTTCCCAAAGATTTTTCATTACCTTTTAAAATTAATACTGTACTCAAATTAAGTTCCCCAAAAAACCTAATGTACAAAACTTACCTTGATAGAAAAAAAAAAGTCTAAAATATCTGTTGTTTGTATACTGGCTCTTTAAGGCAAAAAAAGAAGCCTAGGAAATTATGAGGTTCTTGGTTGTAACTTACATTGCATTTCTGATGGTAGGTCCTTTCCAGATATGGATCAGTCTGTGATACACTTAGTCTCTCAGAGTAATAGTTCAAGTTGCTTTAAGTTATGCAGTGTGAGTCCGGATATCACAGTGGGACCACTTGTAAATAGATTATGACGTCATGTTAGTTAGTAGAGTTGAAAGCTGAATCTGCTGTTCGCCTTTACTAGAAGCAAAAATTGTAAATGAACGAGTGGTATATTCCTTCAGCTAGTTTACTATTGCCATTAGTAGTTTTGGAGGTCAGGAGATTCTTCTTTTGTTGAAAGACATTCTTAAATTAATAATTTTTAAAATGTAAATAATTTGAAGCTTGTTAAAGTAGATAAATAACTCCTCTATCATTGATCTACCCAGTTCCGTGTTTGCAAAAGTATTAAAAGGCTCAGGACAGGTGCAGCAGATTAGATGAATTCTTGTTTTGTTGAGTTGAAAATTCTTTGGAATTATAAACTGCAGAGCAAGCATGATCATTACAGAGTGCTGGACTCAACAACATTTTAAATAAATTAGATGTAAGCATTTTAAATCTGGTGAAAGTTTGTATATTTTAATTTTGTCTAGTGTGACCGAAAACCAAAATTTTGTTTTTGTGTGTTTCAGGATTTTGCTCTTAAGGAGATCCAAAACTATGGAAAGAAACCATGTAACAGCACCATGGATGTAAACACATTGATTGGGTGTTCTCTTGAAAAACTTCTAAACAGCTTCATTTAGATTCTGAGTATATTTATCTGAGCTGTGTAGCTCAACTTGTTAATAAACCAATGAAAAATTTAAATAAACTTGGATTACAGGGGATGCAAATTGTTTGTATGCACATCTGTACATATGTAGACATTGGTTTTATTAGTAAAGTGTTACCTTAATGCACTATTTTGAATTGGTGACAGATGGTGATAATTAAGAATTTAATCTTCTTTTTTTTAGTTATTTTAATTTCCGACTAAAAGAGTTTTAATTTTAAAAACTAAAATATATGCATTTTCTTTCTAAAACTTTTAAGTTCTTTTCAAATACAATGTAATCTTTTTTCTAGGAAATACTGGGAATCATTCCCATTCATTTTAGAAAGAAGGAATTTCAGTGACCCCTTATATCACTGATTAATTTTATTATATGACTACTGAAGACATTAAAAATATGCATCTTTTTTGAAGAACTATTTTACACTCAACAAGTAAACATTTCTTTATTTATTCTTTATTTATAAATTAACAGGCATTATGTCCATATTTTTAATTTGAGATGGAACCAAATTGGTCATTCACTTGGTGCTAATACATGTTTATCATCTTGTTCCCTACATGAAATTGGTTAGTCTGCTCAAAGCTATGTTCAGGCAGTCAGTTCTCCAAGTGTATAATCAAGTACCTTTTTTAAATGGGATAGAAAAAAAGAGCAGATACTTTCTGAGGATGTACGTTTTCACTAGGAAGTTGATCTCTCTTACTCAGTAGAAAATACAGTAAAAATGCCCTCTTGACATAGATTCTCTATAACAACTTCATTAAAATTAATTATATTTACACCAACTGAAAATGTACCCTCATAGAAATTAATTTGTCTGGTAAGTACTTATTTCAAGTATTTTAAATTCACCAAGGTCACTGCCGCATTCCTATTTATTTCAGTGTAAGTGGAGAATTCAATCCATTGGATTAAATTGTCCAAATCTTACTGAGCAGTGAAGTCAAGAGAATTTTACCTGCAGGAACTGAAAATACAGATTTAGCTTTTTTTTTTCCTTCTCTGGCATATAATACTATAACATAGTGACCTATTCAACCTGGGATAGTGTAGGCATTAACATCTAAAGTGTGGCACAGCTCAGACTTTAAATAATTATCTAGTAATGAAAGACAAATTTGGTTGTTCATGGTTACTTCTTCTTGCAGTGGTTTCTGTAGCAGCCCCATGCCTTACAGGGTTCCCTGTACAACAGAGAAGAATTTCCTGACATTTACGTCTGAAATGGGCAACATTATACAAAATTGGATTGACAGCAGAGTTGGCAAAAGTGAATAACATTATCCAGAAGAAAACTGATGGCAAAATATTTAAATCTTGTTTGTAGTTCTGGACTAAAATTAAAAGAATAATTATTATAATTGGGCTCCACATGATGAAGAAAGAGATCATCAACACAAAGAGGGCTCGGAATAGCTTGTAGTCTTGCTGGGAAACACGAATCTGATGATTTTCTGAGTAGGCTAAATTGGCATTTAAACTCCTTCTTGATGCTTTTGTAATCTGCAGTAAAAGAGAAGAAAGTTACTTTCTTTGAAACCTAGAAGAATTATTAACACATTTCTACAAGTGCAAAAGTAGGCATATGATGTTTCTATTTTGAAAAGTGACTGCAAAAAAAGGCGTTGCAGATTTCCATTTTCATTTTTTGTCAATGGTTCCATTTCAAACATTCTCACTTTACTAGCATTTTTTTTTTCTCTCAGCTGGGAACTCATCTCAATATTAGTCAACCTGGTTGTACTCCCCATGGCTCTCTACCAGCCATAAATACTTTTCAGCATAAAGCAGAGCCTTAATTACTCATGAAATCCCATTAACTTCAAATTATGACCTCATTTGTTCTATCTAAATAAACCTATTGCTTTTTTTTCACAAATGCAAACTGGAACATAGTTAACAATCCTGTTGATGCACAAGAAGGAACACAATCCAATTCTCTTACAGCCACACATATTATAAGGTAGGTATTAGAAGGAGCATGAATTTATTACAGTAACTAAATCATGATACATTTTAAATTTGAATGGGATTTTACATTAAGTTTGGTGTAAACTTTTATTTTTTCAGTCAGGATTCAAAATTACTTTCTATGAACTAACCTGAAATCTTACAGATCCTTTTGTGACTAAGAAAACCCGTGTCCTGTAAAAGTACTGTCTGATGTAATAAACCAGACTATGAGTACTTTGGGAATCTAGTATTCATAGGTGTGAATCATGTCATCAGGTAAAATACTGAATCCCAATGGCTTGCAGAAAACCCTAAATCTCACGCTCTACATCCCTATCTTCACCGAAGCTGGCATAGTACAGTAAGTCTGTTATTCACATATCTGATGCACATAAAATAAAATTGAAATATTTAGCAAACACACACACGGGCTAAATAATTGAGATGCCATTTTACACCCTGTAAAGTAGGGGTCTTTGCAAAAGCTTGGATCAATTTGGTGTCAAAGTAGGAAAGTCAAACGGCATAAGATTCTTCCTGCTACTTCCATGTGTGACACTTCCCTTTAGTGTTAATTAGGGGAACGCCAATACTAGTAATACTTAACAGCTTCCTGGTTCAGGTCAGGATGAAAATTGTTGCACCTATATTGAGTAATTTGTCATTCTTTCTGCAGTTTTCTGAATTTGTCACAGAGACAGATGGCCTAGAATAAATATTCATTAAGAACCTAGATATCTACTGATTTCAACAGAATCTGGGCGTATAAATCAAAACTGTTGATGCAAAAATGGGCTTCTCAGCAGCTGCTGAGCCCGAGAAGGGGACAGTCTCTCTAGCTGCCTCCCGAATCTAAAAGGGGCAGAGAATTCTGATGTTTTGATCATGTAAAACTATTCCAGCCTGATGATCTTCTGCTGTACCCATTTGGAATCCAGAAACTAGACTAACCCTTCTAAACAAACTGATCCAAGAGTTGTTCTCAGAGAGAGTACTTAACCTGTCTTAGTAAGAATTAAGGTTTCACAAAATACAAAGGACCAATACCCACTTCTAATATAAAAGTGAGAAAACCAAGTTCTGCACCGTCCTCAGCCTCCACTGTTCAAAATGGCCACAGAACATCCTCATCAGATACCCTTGGGTATCTGATGTCCCTATGGGACAGACAGATATCTGTCCCATATACGTACCCTCCATCCTTCCTGCTGGAGCTGCACAGCCTACAACTAAGAATGCAAGAATCTCCAGGAATAAGCAACTGCATCTTAGGAAAGTGCTCAGCTGAAACGGGGTGGCAGTGGTATGTTTTGGATCCCTTTTTGGTCTGCCTAGTATAAGGAATCTAGATACACATCGCGGGCATCCTGATCACGCTCTGAGAACCAGGAACTTAGAAGTCATGTGTATACAAGTACGTAACTTCCAGAACACGAACGTCTACTAGTTCCAGCCTCTTATCCAAGTCTCGCCTGAGAGGGGGAACAATGCAAAACCAAATAACTTAATTATAAATCATCACTTCTAATCTGTCATTTTTGACAGGGTTCAGGGAAGTGTGACATAAAAATCAGTTCCAGATTAATTGTAGAGTATACCTTTGTAGAGTGTATTTGTTAACAAATTTCAGGTCTTATATCTGTAGTGAATCATCATCAAAATAGATGCTGTGTTAACTGAATACATGAATGCTTTGAACTGCTTCCAGCAACACTGAGCTTTGTGCTCTGTGTGCACTGGCATCGTGGAGTCTTCTCACAAAGTGAGAATGAATATGCTCTCGGGAGTGACTCAGGGATTAAAACCTTCTCCAGCTGAGTTCTGGTTGGTTCCTGGAGAGCTGTGTGAGACAGAAGATTCAATAGTAACAGATGGGATCCTGCTATGGGCCTCATTCCTTTCTTACTTCAGGAGAAATGGTAACACATTATCAAGCTGGAAAGGAAATGTGAGCGTGGCAGCATGGGGCTGTCTTGTAATTCAGTATTCCAAACCCTGTTTTGGGCTTCTAGCTCCCTACGTGCCATTTTGTTTTCTAAATTTACTTGTAATCTGGACCCTGCAAAGACAAGAGGAACACCATTCCTGTCCCGGTCTCTGACCAAGGACTGTGGCATCCCTTGGCCTGCAGGTTTTTTGCTGTTCCTTCAAAGGGCTTATACTACCCACTGACTTACTGTATGTTCTTTGCCTCCAGTAAGCATGAGGTTGCAAAAGGCAAGTGCTTTGTTTCACTAGAAGAGGTTTACCTAATGCATTTACCTTAAGGTTATAATGAACTTACAGAGTGTACAGAAACTAAGAATTGATGATTTTGACTATGAGTTTAAGTCTGATCAACAGGCAAGTACATGCAGAACCCAGATTCTAAGTTCTAGGTTCATTGTAACATCTGTGTGCAGCTCTGGTGCATTTTCTCACAGCCCTCACAGCCCCTTGCTGCTCAGCATTTCATCAGTTAATTCTCTGCTCAATAATCTGTGTATTTTGAGGTTCCTCTCCAAACCCTATACTTTTCCTTATATATAGTATAAGAAGTTTAATTATCCAATACAGGAATCAATAATCTTTTGGAGGCAGTTGCTAAAAACTAGGAATTGCAGCGCCTTGTTTGAAGATTTCTAGCTCTTTCTCACTCCGTTTTTGGATGAGGAAGGGGTATGAAATCAGATGTTTTAAAAGGAATTTAGGTAACTAATATGCTTGCCAGAATATAGATTAAAACTCTGTGGTGCCTGGTGTCTTCTCCTATATTTCAGCGGTTAAACAACATCCACTCAGAAAGAAAGTGGAAGCAGAGTGTTGAATTTACAGTTTTTCTTTGCAAAGTTTGAAATAGTGGAGGAATAAGTATAATCTAACGAGATCTGAGTACTAAAAATATATGCAGAAAATCAGTAGATCTAAAAAGGGATGAATTTTTTTCTGGTCTTGCCTCTCTTTGCTTTCTTACAAATCCCTTGTGACTGGAGTTTAGGCTCAAGGAAAGCAAAATCTAGTTTTTGGTTATTTCAAATGCTTGACTCTTAGCACTTAGAAGATTGAAAGTCTTTAAATATGAACAGCACGTAAATGGAGAAGTGTATTAAATACTATATATAAAGACAAACTTTGTGTTGAGCTTCTGGTAATGTGCTATTCAAGCACGTTCTTAGTGGAAACATACAGGCTGTTATGCAGAGGATGGAGTGCCTCATTTCATTACCCCCTACCATTTACTGAGCATATGATGTCTGTTCCCTTTAGGTCTATCTGTATTCGGTGACAGTATCTTGATGCCTAGTGAGGTACTGTTTACTTCCCTCTGTTCTACAACAAAATTTAAAGGAAAAAACATACCTGTAAGATTTTGGAATAACTGATGACAATGACTAATCCTGGTATTAGAAAAAAGACAATGGCAAAGGTCACATCCCAAACTATTTCTCCTGCGATGCTGGGCCAAACCAAGGTGCATATTTTAATCTCCTGTTTACAAAGAATAGAGAAAAAAATTAACATTGTACTGTTATTTTTACTACAAAGTGGTCCTTACTGCCCTTTATACTTACACAGAAAATGGCTGCAGACTAAACCGAGCCTGTGAAAACTTTCTACTCAAACAGAGCAGTCAATGAATGTATTACCTCATGGCTTTAAAAGCCCATACAATTACAAATAGATGCATTGTCCACAATCTAAATATTGCCATAAATTTAACAGCAAATGCTAACTGCAACTTTAAACTTACAGACCTTCAACTTTATCAGGTATGTGAGTGTCCCGTAGGTGTACTTGTGTGCGCATTTCAAAACACCAGGCAGGAAAATCTGTGCGTGGCCACTCGGTA